GGATGGAAGGATTTTTTACAGTTGAATAATATTCCGTCTTATCTATCTCTGTCTCTCTCAATATATACTGGGGGGTGCCAAGAAATGTAGTGGTCAACGTTGCTCAAGCGGTAGTTTGCCATAATTAGAAATGTCTGGACGCTGATGGTAACCACTTTGAGCACCTCTTGTAATTGCTGAAGTAAAACATGACTTGTATTCATCTTTTGTTATCGATACACATTGAGTATTACAATTTTAACACAGTGTTCCTTTCTTAAAATGTGTTACATTTTTTTGGCACCCTCTGTATTACATCGTCTTTGTCCATTCATTTATAGATGGCCACTTTGGTTGTTTTCATTCATGTCTTGGCTATTGTAAATAATGCTGCAGTGAACATAGGAGTACAGGTGTATTTTCAAGGTAGTGTTTCCATTTCCTTTGAATATCCCAGAAGTGGAATGGCTGGGTTATATGGTAGTTACACATTTCTTTTATTTTTAAGGATCATCTATACTGTTTTCCATAGTGGTTGCACCAATTTTCACTCACATCAATAGTGAATAAGTGTTCCTTGATCTCCATATTCTTGCCAGCCCTAGTTATTTATTGTCTTTTTGATAGTAGTCATTCTAACAGGTGTGAGTTGATATCTTATTGTAGTTTTGATTTACATTTCTTTGAAGATTAGTGGTGTTGAGCAGCTTTTCATGTACCTGTTGGCCATATGTATGTCTTGTTTGAAAAAATGTCTATTCAGGTCCTCTGCACATTTTTAATTGGATTGTTTATTTTTTGCCATTGAGCTATATTAGTTTTTCATATATTTTATTTATTTTTTTTAAAAAAGATTTTTATTGGTGAATTGGGGGATGGGAACAGAGCTGGGGAATTGGGGGAAGGGGAACAGACAAGTTGCTATCCTTTTTTTCTTCAGTTTTGTTGTGGAGGACATTGCTTCACTGGCCCAAGTTGGCACCATCATTACACTCTTCCCGGGCAAGGCAGATCAGTTGCTGGCTTCTGGATGGCTGCTCACTGCGGCTGCTGGCCACTAACATTGGCTGCTGGCTACACACGGTAGCCCTTGGCAACCCACTGCAGTACGGGCTGCAGCCTAGGACGTCGCCGGCGACTCATGGCAGCCCAGCTCCAGGTTGAGCTGTTGTTCAGCATCTTAGCTGTAGAGGGCAGTGTCACTGGCCCTCATATGTGGGATCCGAACCGGGGCCCTCTAGCATCCCAAGCCAGCTCTTAACCAACACGCCACTCAGCAAGCCCAGTTCTTCATATATTTTAGATAATAACCCCTTATCAGATATATAATTTGCAAATATTTTCTCCCATTTGGTAGGTGGCCTTTTAATTTTGTTGATGGTTTCCTTTGTTGTGCATAAGCTTTTTAGTTAAATGTCGTCTCACTTGTTTATTTGAGGTTTATTTTTTGCCTTTACTTGGACAAATTGTTTTAAAATTTAATTTATTGGGGTGATATTGGTTACCCCAATGTACATAGGTTTCAAGTGTACATTTCCATAATACATCATCTATATATCACATTGTGTGCTCACCGCCCATGGTCAGTTCTCATTCTATCACTGTATATTTGACCTCCTTTACCCTCTTCTACCATCCTCCCTCTCCCCTTACCCTCTGGTAATCACTAAACTATTGTCTGTGTCTATGAGTTTTTGGTTCTTTGTTTGTTTCTCTTGTTCCTTTCAGTTTTGTATCCCACATATGAGTGAAGTCATATGGTTCTCGACTTTTCCTGCCTTATTTCATTTAGCATAACAATCAATTTTTTTGTATAATTTTTGGGAGAAGCTCTTCATATTTTAAATGGGTCCTTTTTAGGGGAGAGGGTGAGTGAAATGCACTAAAAAGAGGGGGGTGGTGGAAAGAACTACAGCTTCTGCTAGTGTAGGTGAAGGCCAAAATTGATACTCAGTCTCTCTCTCCTCTACTATCCATTCTCAATTCCCCTCACCCCAAATAATATCTCTACTATTCTGGATGGCTTAACTGGTGGGGTGATCCTGACCCTCATCCCTAAGGGTCCTGAGGTCTAGGGAGGTCAGATGCCTTGCCTAAGGTCACAGACCCAGTAAGATACAGAGTGGGGATTTAAGCCCCAGCACCTTGGTTTGTGCCTCCCTTAAGTAGACATTCCATAATTCAACTAATATTAAACACTGTGCAATTTCATTAAAAATAACAATGAATAGAAAAAAAATGAAAGTTCCCATTTTCATCTCTGAAAATACAAGTATTTAAAAATACCATATAACAATAATCAAATTTGTCAAAGTTGTCTCTAGTGGGAGAACACATCTTAATCCAGTTACAACCTGGAAGAGTCAAATCAGGAAATAAAGTTTTGAGTGTAAACATATAAGTGCACATGGATAGGTGGCCACAAGTGAATGCATCAAAATGTAAATTGTGGTTATCCTTTGGGTTTCCTACCATATCTCTTAGCATTTTCCAAGTTTTCTAACATCATTATTATATTACTTTTTTATTATCAAGCACTTAAAATGGTACGAGTTTTAAATATTGAAAAAAGATTAAGAAAATAAATCTAATGAAAGAATCATATTTATTATATTATTGACTATACATAGTTACAAAGTCAATGTAGTTACAATGGTGATTATTATGATATTAAGTGATATTAAATACACATGCCCACAGAAGACTTTCTACTCTTTTACCATTTCCACTTGTCTCACCTATATACTTCCATTTGATTTTTCTCCTATTATTGAACCATCTTTGGTCCCTGAAAATGTTCCATTGTGTCCACTGGCTTGCCCATACTCAGAAACACTTATCTTCATCTTCATCTTCCCCACAAAACTCCACTGAAACCTCCTCATTCACTAAGACACTGAGAGAGAAGAGCTGGGAAACATGTTGGTGCCTTAGGCTGAAACCTAGTATGGATAGATAGGTAGATAGACAGACAGATAGACAGATAGATTAGTACAATGGAGGAATGCTTGATAATGTGACTGCAACCAGACCCTCAATCTAGATCCAGCCAGATTTGGGCCAGAAGAGGGATTGCATCACATAAATCCCTCCAGAGACTTCTGATCTCTCCCTTATGCCTTAGGAGTGCCAGGTCCTAGAACAGGCCATTGCCCTTCCTTAGGCAAGCATGTAAGGTTTTTCACCCCTTATCTGGGGTGGGCCATGCCCCAGTACCCCCATCCATCTTGACCTTTCCTATGTAACTCCTGAGTGCCTGCCATGAGGCATGGAGGATATCCATGTCATCTTGCTGCCACCCAAGACAAGTCTCATATGTAAGTTCCCTTAATAAACTCTTAATGTAATGATGGAGTTGTCAGCCTCTTTCTCTGGTCTTTTGGCTCTAGGAAATTTTATATAATAGGTAGGTAGGTAGATAGGCAGATAGATAAGGATATAGACAGAGACATATAGATATACTAGATATACTAGCACTAAGCCATAAGACAAATATTTCTGGAATATTAACTTTTTCTTTAACTGAAGTAACCTGGTGATAATCTGATCTCTCTCTGTCACTGAATACATCACCATTGCTGGCTGATACGTAAAGCCTTGAAACTTGGCTATTTGAACTATTAAAGTTGGACATGGGAGAGGCACCAAGATGTTGAGTTGCTGAGGGCTACAAGGAATAGATAGGAGAAAACCTCCCAAGGAAACCTAACAATATTCTAGGTAAATAATGTAACAATTGGCTGTGCTGGAAATACTCCTCTCATTTCATCCTCATCATAATTATCATGCCATATCACAGATATCACATATCACACTAGAAGGAGATTATGAATTATGGCACTAACAATTTATGGAATTTTATATTTAAAAAATCATTTATATATAGACTTAAGCAACTACCCAGGGGTGTCTTCCATGTATTGGCTAGCTTTCTAAACTATTGGGTTGTGGGAAAAGTCATGATGCATTTTTGCAATGAAAAACAGAAAAAATACATCGTGACTTTTCCGACAACTCAATATTTTGATTTTATAATGCTTTTATTCCACAATAGCCATATCAAAGAGAAAGCGAATATAAAGAATACTATACCAGCTTTAAAATTGTTTTAGCCTTGAAGGGATGCATCAATTCCACTCATATTTTATTGGACAGATAAAAACATATTGTCACCTTTACCTTCAAGGGAGAAAGGAAATGTAGTTCTCTTGGGTATGCAACAGAAGAGGATAAACAGAAATATTGTCAGTAAGCAGTAAAATCTACCATAGAGATGTAAACAACATCAAAATCCATGTGAAAAACTGTGCAGCCTGTTAAATAAGAATATGAGCTAAGGGTCAGAGTTCTGGGTTTGAATTCTGCTTTTGCCACTTGGTCCCTTGTCCCTGTGTAACTTTGGGGAAGTTTTTTTTTAAGGTCTCTTAAAGCCAAAATTTTAATTTTCTTACCTCTGAAATGGGGATCATAATCCTTCATATTGGGAAGATTACATAAGATAGTAGATAACAGCATAATCTTACCATATAATGCACACTAAAACATCAACTATATCTTGATATGTATTTTAATCATACTTATCCAGTAAAACAAACAAGCAAACAAAAAAACCAAACCAACAAACAAAAAACACTGTTGGTGACACACACAAATCCACAAACCCATAGAAATAAATTGAGGTGAACAATCAATAGTTTAAGTATTCTAAACCAACATTTGAGATAACAAAGACACAGTAAATGCTTCAAATCCAAGTTTAGGACTCATGAGTGTGGAGGTAAGAAAGATGACCAAGGACATAATTTTTGGACAGCAGATAGGGCAGAAAGGTCATCAAACAAATTATGGGGAGGTTAGTTGTTTAAAGTGTGTTGAGGATAAAGAGAGAGCAAAGTCATAGACCGTTCAGGACTGGATGAAAGAACAAGGTGATTTGAGAGATTCAAGAGGAACAACTTCAGAATAAAAGTTTCTGCCACTGGTACCCACAAAACTTCTCAGAACTGGGTCCAGTGGATCTATCACAGACAAGAGGCTACTCTACTGAGAAGCCTCCCCAGGGCCCCCTTCACATCTTTGTTCCTCAGGCTGTAGATGAAGGGGTTCAACATGGGCGTGACTACTGTGTACATCACTGAGGCCACTGAAACTTTCTGGGGAGAGTGGGTCACTGCAGAAGTGAAGTGCACTCCAACACCTGTCCCATAAAATAAAGAAACAACTGAGAGGTGAGATCCACAGGTGGAAAGTGCTTTTTGCTTTCCTGTCAATGAGGACATCTTCCTTATGGATGAAGCAATTCTTGAGTAGGAGACAAGAATCCCCCAAAGGGGGAAAACACCCAGCGTACCAGTCATAAAATATAGCAGTATGGTGTTCAGGAAGGTATCAGAGCAGGCCACCTTGAGAATCTGTGTCAGTTCACAGAAGAAATGTGGAATTTCAAGAGCTCTACAAAAGCTCAAATGCATTGTCAAAGAGGTATGGAGGAGGGATATTATGACACTAATGAACCAAGTAATAAAAACTAGCAAGCCACAGAGCCGGGGGTTCATGATGACCGTGTAGTGCAGGGGGTGACAGATGGCCACAAACCGGTCATACGCCATCACGGTCAGGAGTAGAGAGTCCACGATAGGAAAAACCATGGAAAAATACAGCTGAATGAGGCAGTTCATATAGGAGGTGGCTTTGTTCTCTGTCTGGATGTTCACCAGCATCTTGGGGACTATGGTGGTGCTAAAACAGATGTCAACCAAGGACAGGTTGGAAAGGAGGAAGTACATGGGGGTGTGGAGGTGGGAGTCAGAGCTGATGACCAGGATGATGAGCAGATTCCCAAGCACAGTGACCAGGTACATGGACAGGAAGAGCCCAAATATGAAGGGTTGCAGTTGTGGATCATTAGACAATCCAAGGAGGATGAACTCAAAAATTCCTGTTTTGTTTCCTGCTTCCATGTAGTTGATATAACTTTGAAGGAAGAGACAAGAACAACATGATTAGCACAAATTGGCACCCTCCACATAATAGAAACATTGACCATGCCCTTAACTCAAATTGATCATCTTGTCTAAGAGTTGGATCTCCAATCACTCATAAATGGAATCCTAAAAAATGGAGTCTCTTATTTCAACATCCCACCTTAAGTATTCACTTTATTACAATGAAACCAAAATGGAATCCTACAAAATGGAGACTAGAATTCCTGGTTTGGACAGATAATTTTCAACAAAGGAACCAAAAACATACAATGGGGGAAAGACAGCCTCTTCAATAAATGCTTCTGGGAGAATTGGAAAGCCACATGCAAATGAATAAACTAGACTGCTATTTGTCACTGTGTACCAAAATTAACTCAAAATGGATCAAAGAACTAAACATTAGACCTGAAACAATAAACTGCATAGAAGAAAACATAGGTACTGAACTTACAGATCTTGGGTTCAAAGAGGACTTTATGAATTTGACCTCAAAAGCAAGGGAAGTAAAAGCTAAAATAAATGAATGGAGCTATATCAAACTAAAAAGCTTCTGCACAGCAAAAGAAACCATCAACAAAATATAGAGGCAACCAACCGAACTGGAGGAGATATTTGCAAACAAAGCCTCCAATAAAGGCAAATATCCAAAGTATATAAGGAACTTATACAACCCAAAAACGAAAAGACAAACAATGCAATTAAAAAATGGGCAGAGGGGCCGGCCGAGTGGCTCAGTTGGTTAAGAGCTCGCTCAAGAGTGTGAGCTCTGAGCAACAGCTGTTCAATTCCTAGCCCGAGCTGAGCTGCTGCAGAGCTACCAACAGGCGGCAGGATGGCTCAGCTAAAAACAAACAAACAAAAAAAAAACATAAAAAAAATGGGCAGAGGACCTGAATAGACATTTCTCCAAAGAGGACATACAGATGGCCAACAGACATATGAAAAGATGCTCAATGTCACAAATCATCAGACAAATGCAAATAAAAACCACAATGAGATATCACCTTACACCAGTTAGAATGGCTATCATCAACAAGACAAATAGTAACAAGTGTTGGTGAGGATTTGGAGGAAAAAGAACCCTTATACACTGTTGGTGGAAATGCAAATTGGTGCAACCATTATGGAAGGCAGTGTGGAGGTTACTCAAAAAACTAAGAATAGAATTACCATATGACCCAACAATCCCTCTCCTGTGTATATATCCAAAAAATCTGAAAACATTTATCCATAAAGATGTATGTTTTCCAATGTTCATTGCAGCTTTATTTATGGTGGCAAAGATATGGAAACAACCAAAGTGTCCTTTGATAGATAATTGGATTAAGAAGATATGGTGTATAGGGGCCAACCGAATGGCTCGCTGGTTAAGAATTGGCTTGGGAGTGCGAGCTCTGAGCAGCAGCGCCATGGGTTCAGATCCCACATGGGCCAGTGACATGCGCCCTCTCAGCTAAGATGCTGAACAACAGCTCGACCTGGAGCTGGGCTGCTGTGAGTCGCCGGCAACGGCATAGGCTGCAGTAGGGCTGCAGTGGGCTTCTGTGAGCTACTGCGAGTGGGCAACAGCCAGTGTGAGCAGCTAGCAGCCACCATGAGCCACCATGAGCAGCCACCCAATGGCCAGCGACTGACTGCCTCAGCTGGGAAAAGCACAACGATTACAATACCAACATGGGCCAGTGAAGCAAGGTCCTCCACAACTAGACTGAAGAACAAAAGGACAGCAACTTGCCTGTTCCCCTTCCCCGACTCCCCAACACTGTTTCCCTCCCCAAATTCACCAATAATATCTTTAAATAAAAAAAGATGTGGTATATATACACAATGGAATACTATTCTGCCATAAGAAAAGATAAAATAGTACCATTTGTGATAACATGGATGGATTTTGAGATTATTATGCTAAGTAAAATAACTCACACAGAAAAAGCTGAGAACCACATGGTTTCACTGATGGATATAAAACTGAAAGCAATAAAAGAACAAGACAAACAAATAAAGAAACAAAAACTCATAGACACAGACAACAGTTTAGTGGTTACCAGAGGGTAAGGGGGAAGGGGCGTGGTAGATGAGGGTAAAGGGGATCAAATATATGGTGATGGAAGGAGAACTGACTCTGGGTGGTGAACACATGATGTGATATATAGATGATGTATTACAGAATTGTACACTAGAAATGTATGTAACTTTACTAAACCATTGTCACACCAATAAACTTGAATAAAAAATTAGATTATTAAAATAATTGTCAAAATAAGAATGAGTTCTGTAAATGTGATAATAGTATCATATTAATGTTAATTTCCTGATTCTGATCATTGTACTGTAGTAATGTGAGGAAAATGTCCTTGTTTTTAAGAAATACTAAAGATTTAGAAGGAAAGAGGTACCATATCTGCAGTGCAACTTACTCTCAAATGGTTCTGAAAACACACACACACAGAAGAGAGAAAAAGAGAAAAAATAAATGGATGAAGAAAAAAATAAAGGTGGTAAAAATGTTAACATTTCAGGGATCCAGTAAAGGATATACATAGGAACTATTCATATTGTTCTTTCAACTTTTCTTAAATCCAAAATGTCAAAATTAAAAGTTAAAAACACTTTCATGCAATGCCCAATAGTACAGTGTATAAAAAAGGAAGGAAATCCATCTACTAGATGTCAGCAAGAATTGGACTTCAAAAAACACTGTAGCTCAGGTAATCTCTCCCTGGTTTAGAGCCCACATTCACACTCACCTAGAAACCTCAGCCAGAGGAATTTAGTCTAAAGTGATCCTGAATGTATTGTACCCTAAGCCCCAGGCAGAAGCAAAAAGAAATCTGCTCTGAAAGGTGCTTTTATCTGAGGATTTTTGCCTTGGTGTCCATAAGGGAGGCTGGTCTGTGAGTTTTCTTTCTCTTAACACCTTTTCCAGGTTTGCCAGCACATGCTGGTTCCTTCCAACCACCCAATCTTATTAGGCACAACACCACTCTTTCAATCTCTAAGTTCCAAAATTTTTGCCTTCTTAGGAATCCTAAAAATGCTATGATTCTTCCCCTAGCCATGTCTGTGCAAGTTCTGCCCTCTCAGCTGGTGTGCTCCACCATGCTTTTGTCTTCCTGTGATAATTCTTGTCCTTGTCTCTCAGGTGGAATATCACTTCCTCCAAAAAGCCTTCCTGAACACTCCCTGCCCACCTAGTACAGTCCTATTGGTCTTTGCTTTTATAGCCCCCTGTATTTTTCTTCATTGCATAAGTAATAGTTATATTTTTGCATTTACTTATGAAATTATTTAATTAATATCTGTCCCCCTCATGACTGAATCATAAACTATACAAGTTCAGATCACATGCTTTAAATTTACTTATCCTGGTATTCTCAGTGCTTTGTTCTCAAAATGCACAGAAAGTTGAATTAAGGTTGAAACCAAAAATTATCATATATAAACAAACAAGAAATCTACAAGTTAATTTCACATTGACTATATATGCAGCAACCTGAAAAAGGAGTAAAATGAAGTTATCTGCCTGATAACACACTCCCTTATGAATTAATATTCATCTGAAAAGCGCAAAAATACTTAATATTAGAAAGTCAGGTAACAAAGTATTTGCATGAATAGATCAATGCAGAAAATAATGATACTTTCAACATACATACATGTAATAAAATTTAACAGTCATCTATGGGAAGGGAACAGAGTAAAGCTGCAGTCACATAGACTAGAAGGATGCTGCCTCCAGGTGATAAAGAATTGCTAAGTTAAACCAAGTGTTAATCCAAGACCCATCATTAAACCCTAAACAAAAAAAAGAAAGAAAAACTCACAAGAAGCAGAAAGGGGAAATTACGCCTGCTGTTTTAATTATTTAACATTGTTTAGAAATATATAGCCTTCCTAGACTCAATCATGAAGAACTGGAAAATTTAAATAGACTGATCAACAGTAAGAAAATTGAAACAATCATCCAAAACCCAAAAGCAAAACTCCAAGACCAGATGGCTTCATTAGTGAATTCTACCAAACATTCAAAAGTATTTAACACCTGTCCTCCTCAAGCCCTTCCAGAAAACTGAAGAAGAGGCAATACTCCATAACTCATTTTATGAGGTCAACATTACCCTGATACCAAAACCTGATAAGGATAACAGAAAAATAGAAAACTATAGACCAATCTCTCTGATGAATACGGATGCAAAAATCCTAAACAAAATACTAGGAAATCAAATACAGCAATACATTAAAAAGGTTATACATCACAATCAAGTGGGGTTCATTCCAGGGTCACAAGAATAGTTCAACATACAGAAATCAATCAATGTGACATACCACATAAACAAAATAGATTAAAATAATATGATTATATCAATAGATTCAGAAAAAGCATTTGACAAGATAAAACATCCATTTATGATTAAAACACTTAATAAAATGGGTATAAAAGTAAAGTACCTCAACATAATACAGGCCATGTATGACAAACCCTCAGCTAATATACTTAATGGTGAAAAACTGAATGCTTTTCCTTTAAAATCAGGAACAAGACAGGGTTTTCCCATATCACCACTGTTATTCAAGATAGTATCAGAAGTTCTAGCCAGAGCAATCAGGTAAGAGAAAGTCATAAAAGGCATCCAAATTGGGAACAAAGAAGTTAAATTGTCCCTATATGCAGATGACATTATTTTTTATTTAGAAAACCCTAAAAACTCCACCAAAAATCTAATAGAAAAAATAAACAAATACAGTAAAGTTGCAGAATACAAAATCAATGTACAGGGCCGACCAAGAGGCACGTTGGTTAAGAGTTGGCTTGGAGGCCGGCCGAGTGGTGCGTTGGTTAAGAACTGGCTTGGGACGCCAGAGGGCCCCGGTTCAGATCCCACATATGAGGGCTGGTGACACTGCCCTCTACAGCTAAGATGCTGAACAACAGCTCAATCTGGAGCCAGGCTGCCGTGAGTTGCCGGCGACGGGCATAG